TCAGCACTATGCCCAGCCGCCTTTACTTTCCCTAACATGAGTTAGGTACCCATCAGAGTTGGGTGGACTTAAGATAGAGCCTGCTTAAATTTAAAATACCCCCATATTGATATAACTTCTATCTGCTTATTAGAATAATCTTCTTCACACAGAGATCAATTTTTTTTCTTAATCTACCAGACGACCCAGTTACCCGTTGGAAAAGGTCTTTCAGATGCAAAAAACGAATATCCTGCACGTCCATCCCAACCCATATTATATCTCATCCACACAAGACAACTCCCTTTTCTCCCATCCGAACTTTGACATATATTAAATAATCCACTGATTTAGTCAAGGTTACTGGTGTATTACCTAGCAATGTGAACGTATATAGAAATGGTGGTCTAGCTGTTGTGCGCGGATACATTCTAAAGTACTCGAGATCAAATCCTGTTTATACTTTAGCATGTATCCCAAGACTTATGAGATAAGCACCTATGATGTCGAAGAAAATATATCTCGCTGGACATAGCACCGGCCACAAGACACAGAAGCTGTTAACCGTCAAACGTCAGGCCTGTACTCTCCCTCCAATCACTGTGACTTCCCGAACGTTTACGACATCCTAACATGAGGAACTTTGTGCACGTCTTCAGAGCAAGATTGAACCGATCCAAATTTCGTCAGTCGTCTGTAGTTACATCAGAAATTCAATACACCTGACGGAACAGCGTGTCACGTGTCTAGATATCTCCAGTGTTGGAGTCTTTTTCACGATGCATTCCTCGAGCAATGACGGACTACCTACATTCACGATACGGTCCTGGAGCAATGACGGACTACCTACATTCACGATACATTCCTCGAGCAATGACGGACTACCTACATTCACGATACATTCCTCGAGCAATGACGGACTACCTACATTCACGATACGGTCCTGGAGCAATGACGGACTACCTACATTCACGATACATTCCTCGAGCAATGACGGACTACCTACATTCACGATACGGTCCTAAAGCAATGACGGACTACCTACATTCACGATACGGTCCTGTAGCAATGACGGACTACCTACATTCACGATACGGTCCTAAAGCAATGACGGACTACCTACATTCACGATACATTCCTGGAGCAATGACGGACTACCTACATTCACGATACATTCCTGGAGCAATGACGGACTACCTACATTCACGATACATTCCTCGAGCAATGACGGACTACCTACATTCACGATACATTCCTGGAGCAATGACGGACTACCTACATTCACGATACATTCCTCGAGCAATGACGGACTACCTACATTCACGATACGGTCCTAAAGCAATGACGGACTACCTACATTCACGATACATTCCTGGAGCAATGACGGACTACCTACATTCACGATACATTCCTGGAGCAATGACGGACTACCTACATTCACGATACATTCCTGGAGCAATGACGGACTACCTACATTCACGATACATTCCTCGAGCAATGACGGACTACCTACATTCACGATACGGTCCTAAAGCAATGACGGACTACCTACATTCACGATACATTCCTCGAGCAATGACGGACTACCTACATTCACGATACGGTCCTAAAGCAATGACGGACTACCTACATTCACGATACATTCCTGGAGCAATGACGGACTACCTACATTCACGATACATTCCTGGAGCAATGACGGACTACCTACATTCACGATACATTCCTGGAGCAATGACGGACTACCTACATTCACGATACATTCCTCGAGCAATGACGGACTACCTACATTCACGATACATTCCTGGAGCAATGACGGACTACCTACATTCACGATACATTCCTGGAGCAATGACGGACTACCTACATTCACGATACATTCCTGGAGCAATGACGGACTACCTACATTCACGATACATTCCTCGAGCAATGACGGACTACCTACATTCACGATACATTCCTGGAGCAATGACGGACTACCTACATTCACGATACATTCCTCGAGCAATGACGGACTACCTACATTCACGATACGGTCCTAAAGCAATGACGGACTACCTACATTCACGATACAGTCCTGGAGCAATGACGGACTACCTACATTCACGATACATTCCTGGAGCAATGACGGACTACCTACATTCACGATATAGTACTGGAGCAATGACGGACTACCTACATTCACGATACAGTCCTGGAGCAATGACGGACTACCTACATTCACGATATAGTACTGGAGCAATGACGGACTACCTACATTCACGATATAGTACTGGAGCAATGACGGACTACCTACATTCACGATACAATCCTGGAGCAATGACGGACTACCTACATTCACGATACAATCCTGGAGCAATGATGGACCACCTACATTCACGAACAGGTGGTACCTTGTTTTGTTTCATATACGACAAAATAATTGCGATTTTATTTGTCTGTATTATATAATAAAATATTAAAGGAACAAAATGCGAAGAGAGGAGGTTCAACGAAGCAGGATGGTATATTTTCTAAAAAGATGGAGATTTGTTGTAAAGAGATGGGATGGAGTTGCTTTAACGAGCAGGTTAGTGGCTTTGTTGTTAAGAATCTGGGTTGGGATTTGTTTCTAAATGAGCAAGAAGAGATGTGTTGTTTCCGTTGTTTCTGGGATGATGGGTGTGTTTAACATCATTGGTCTTTAGTAAGGGTTGTGGAGGTGGAGATGAATGAAGACAGTACTAATTACAGAATTCTTTATTTACACTCACACATACAGTACGCACAGACACGAAATTCACTTATACAATCACACACACACACACACAAACACACACTCACATATATATATATATATATATATATATATATATATATATATATATATATATATATATATATATATATATATATATATATATATATATATATATATATATATATCTAATATATAAAGCTCAGTTCTGTAACGTGTGGCAAAAAAGTTTGTCGTTGACAGTTCTATGGATTTAAGTGTTAGATTTTTTATCGTGCTCACAGTCTAAATTTACGAGTCAAACAATTACCATTGAAAGTCTTTAAAAACAATTTTCATTCTATTTACTTAGAAGAATAATTTTCAATTATGAACACGACATAAAATTTTTAAAAAGTGTATCGACGTTTATAAAATTTCTAAAATTGTGTCGGAAATGTATTGACTGCACAGTTACTTCCCTTTAATAAAAAAAATTCTTAAGAAGAAAGAATTTACATTTTATTACTTTGTTTTTGGTGTTAAGAAAAAAAAATAATTACATAATTAGCGGGGATTGATTAAGTGCAATGTCGTTAGGTATTTTTAACACTGCCTTTTATTTATTCTATACACTGAACATACTGTTCAATATTTTTTTTTTAAATCAATAACATTTAATAAGCCAGGTCCTACAAATCCTATATGTTTATTTCTTTCCATTTACGGATAAGCTTGGAGTATTATCATTTTTGTTCACTAAATTGAAACAGGCGCGTCCGCCGGCGCCCTTGCACGGTTCGATTTGGCACCCTGGGCTATCATGTGAGCGCTATGCTGCATAGTTTTGTTTTTAACAGTGCGATAGACTATGGGTAAGAAAGGTTACTATAGTCTTTAAGTGAATCAAATCCGGGCGTCCTCCGGCACCCCGACAGGGTGCTGTTTGGCGCCCCGGGCCTTCCGGTGTACGCTATGGTATATACGTTCGCGTGAGTTCAAAAGACTATGAATAAGTTTACTAAGTTCAATCAGGCGGTGACGTCATGGTGCGTCCTCTGGCGCCCAGACAGGGTGCTATTTGGGGTCCCGGGCCTCCCGTGTTCGGTTTCGCGCCTACGTTCATTAAAGTGAGTGCAAAAGACTATGAATAAGTTGGGGTACTATAGTCGTTTATTAAGCTGAAACAGGCGATTCCGCCCCGGGCTAGACTCTGAGCACTGTGCGTTTATGTTCGCGTTAGTGTTTTCTTTGTGTTTAGGTTGGGTTTGCGTTAGTGGTTGCGTTTTGATTTGGTTCGTTTTTGTTCTTTCTTTTTTCGTTTTCGTTTGTGTTTTATTTTCTTTGCGTTTGTGTTTGTATTTGTGTTTGTGGTTGGTTTTGCGTTTGTATTTGGTTTGTTTTCGTTTGTTTTTTCGTTTGTGTTTTTTTCTTTGGGTTTGTGGTTGGTTTTGCATTTGGATTTGGTTTGTTTTCGTTTGCTTTTTCGGTTTTTTTTTCTTTGTGTTCGTATTGGTGTTTGTGGTTGTGGTTGGGTTAGTTGTTAGGTTTTTGTTTTCGTTTGTATTTGTAATTGTGTTAGCGTTATGTTTGCGTTTTGTTGTTTTGGTTTTGGTTTGGGTGTGCAATGCCGGGTTTATGATGATTACTAAACACACAGGTAATGGTCTTTAACAGAAAGGTTTTTCACAGAAGCCAGAGCAGGGCCTGGCCGGGACGGCTAGTATATATATATATATATATATATATATATATATATATATATATATATATATATATATATATATATATATATATATATATATATATATATATATATATATATATATATATATATATATATATATATATATATATATATATATATATATACGAATGGGGCGGACGTTGTGTTTTCCCCAGAAAAGGAAAATAACGAAATACAAGCAGCTACAGACAGTCTCTGATTACAATACCTGAATGTCAACAAACGCTACACAAGATTTAAAGGTTACTCGTTGCTGGGCTAACATTGTCTGAAACACGTGGGGTGTAGGAGCTGGCCAAGTCGATAGTGGTTGTGCTCAGGACTGTCTGGTGGGTGAGATGGTTAGTAGGGCGTCATGTGGTGGTTAGTAGGGCGTCATTTATCATTAGTAGGGCGTCATTTTTGGTTAGTAGGGCGTCATTTTATGGCTGGTAGGGCGACAGTTGGTGGTTACTAGGGCGTCATGTGGTGGTTAGTAGGGCGTCATTTATCATTAGTAGGGCGTCATTTTTGGTTAGTAGGGCGTCATTTTATGGCTGGTAGGGCGACAGTTGGTGGTTACTAGGGCGTCATGTGATGGTTGTAGGGCGTCATGTGATGGTTGTAGGGCGTCATGTGATGGTTGTAGGGCGTCATGTGATGGTTGTAGGGCGTCATGTGAAGGTTGTAGGGCGTCATGTGATGGTTGTAGGGCGTCATGTGATGGTTGTAGGGCGTCATGTGATGGTTGTAGAGCGTCATGTGATGGTTGTAGGGCGTCGTGTGATGGTTGTAGGGCGTCATGTGATAGTTGTAGGGCGTCATGTGATGGTTGTAGGGCGTCATGTGATGGTTGTACAGCGTCATATGATGGTTGTAGGGCGTCATGTGATGGTTGTAGGGCGTCATGTGATGGTTGTAGGGCGTCATGTGATAGTTGTAGGGCGTCATGTGATGGTTGTAGGGCGTCATGTGATGGTTGTAGGGCGTCATGTGATGGTTGTAGGGCGTCATGTGATGGTTGTAGGACGTCATGTGATGGTTGTAGGGCGTCATGTGATGGTTGTAGGGCGTCATGTGATGGTTGTAGGGCGTCATGTGATGGTTGTAGGGCGTCATGTGATGGTTGTAGGGCGTCATATGATGGTTGTAGGGCGTCATGTGATGGTTGTAGGGCGTCATGTGATGGTTGTAGGGCGTCATGTGATGGTTGTAGGGCGTCATGTGATGGTTGTAGGGCGTCATATGATGGTTGTAGGGCGTCATGTGATGGTTGTAGGGCGTCATGTGATGGTTGTAGGGCGTCATGGGATGGTTGTAGGGCGTCATGTGATGGTTGTAGGGCGTCATGTGATGGTTGTAGGGCGTCATGTGATGGTTGTAGGGCGTCATGTGATGGTTGTAGGGCGTCATGTGATGGTTGTAGGGCGTCATGTGATGGTTGTAGGACGTCATGTGATGGTTGTAGGGCGTCATGTGATGATTGTAGGGCGTCATGTGATGGTTGTAGGGCGTCATGTGATGGTTGTAGGGCGTCGTTGTATAGCTAGTAGGGCGTCATGTGATGGTTGTAGGGCGTCATGTGATGGTTGTAGGGCGTCATGTGATGGTTGTAGGGCGTCGTTGTATAGCTAGTAGGGCGTCATGTGATGGTTGTAGGGCGTCATGTGATGGTTGTAGGGCGTCATGTGAAGGTTGTAGGGCGTCATGTGATGGTTGTAGGGCGTCATGTGATGGTTGTAGAGCGTCATGTGATGGTTGTAGAGCGTCATGTGATGGTTGTAGGGCGTCATGTGATGGTTGTAGGGCGTCATGTGATGGTTGTAGGGCGTCATGTGATGGTTGTAGGGCGTTATGTGATGGTTGTAGAGCGTCATGTGATGGTTGTAGGGCGTCATGTGATGGTTGTAGGGCGTCATGTGATGGTTGTAGGGCGTCATGTGATGGTTGTAGGGCGTCATGTGATGGTTGTAGGGCGTCATGTGATGGTTGTAGGGCGTCATGTGATGGTTGTAGGGCGTCATGTGATGGTTAATATGGCGTCATTTTGATGGTTAGTCTGGGGTCATTTCATGGTAATTGGGGTGTCTGTGTGTGTGGGAGTGGGGTGGGGGGTGCATCAGAGATCTATTTTTTACAATTACATATGTATACATTTTAAAGGGGGGAAAGTTAACCATTACTTGTATGTAAATATATGGGAAGTTCGTGTACATAGTCTGTCATTAGAAGGAGTACAGAGCATATTCTACAGTTGTAAACTAAGCACCAGGGTGTAATCTCGCTCACAGATTTAGAACCTTTCAACATATGTGTGATATCGGCGTACACGTTAGTTTTTTTTTTTTCTTCCTGACTTCGTTGCTTTCGCGGATTCTTTAAAACAATGACACATCAAATAGACAATCAAAATAAACACTCAAGTTAAATGATTGTTTAAAAACATTTTATTAAAAATATCAATAAAAGTAAATAAATAATCTTTTCATATATTACGAAGACTACATAAAAAGATTAAAAATACAATTTTATTGGTAAATCGTGAATTTGTAATAAGTGTTCCAAAAAACGGAAACAAAAATAAAACGTATATAAACATATAACATCAATATCTTATTCACTTCGTATTTTGTTTTTTTATTCTATCTTTTTAAAATACGAATCAAGAAATAGCTGTTCCTGTATAATTAGTCCTGTTTGCTGACATTGACGTCAGGATTGGATCACTCAAAGCAATTGGGAAATTGCTCAGTACTTGAAAATACGTTTAAGTTTTTTTACTCAAAACAAGATGGCGTGTTCGTAATATAAATGTAAGTTTGGGGGGGGGGGGGGGAATCGATCGCCTTGTATTGTCGCGGTCACGCATGACTGGTGTTGGAGCGTATCTAGTTTTATGTGACTTTTCTATGGCGCTGTCACGCTTGAATGATGCTGGTGTACTGGATGAAATGTCTTAACAATCTGGGACTATATGATGTTGATACATCTTAGTATAAATTCTCTAACCTTCGTCACCTAATATGATGATGATATATGAAAATAACATAGCCTGCACTTCCAAATGTGACGGTCCATGGGTCAGGGTGGAGTAGAGTTTACATGTTTCAGTGAATTCTGCATATGAAGGGATAATGTCATCAGCACTACGCCCAGCCGTCTTTACTTTCCCTAACGTGTCAGGTACCCATACAGAGCTGAGTGGACTCAGGGGCGTCCAACGAGGTTGAGTTCGGGATCCATAATCAAGACTTTCGGATTAGCGGATGTAAGCTCTGCCATCCGACCACACCGTCCAACGATGATGACATGTGTTGTTGATACAATCACCTTCAGCACATAATATGTGATGTTGATAAATCTTGATGATATAATTTATTCTAGCATCATCATCTTATGATGTTGATATGCTTAGTTGATATAATTTCTGATGTTGATATGTCTTGAAATAGTTCCATCGGCATCATCAGCTATGTGGTGTTGATATGTTTAGTTGATATAATTTCTGCCAGCATCATCACTTATGTATTGTTGATATACCTTGTTGTTACAATTTCTCCGCATGTGAAGTTGATGTACCTTGATACAATGTATGCTAACATCACCCCGTATAAACGATGTTTATATCCATTATCTTTCCCCAGCATTCTCAAGCTTAATGTGTGTATGTGTGTATGTTCTCTGACAATTTCTCTGTAGCTCTTCTGGTTATCCATGACTACGTTCTCAGCTAGGTTGTCCCCCTTTGATTCATACGTCACACGCCAATGGACGTAACTGTTTAACCTACGATTACCGTGATACAAGTGGTTTCTGGAGTTATCTTTTCTGAGCAAAAAAAATGTACTGATATACGCTTCTCTGAAGCTTGTGATAAGCCAAACGGATAAAAGGTCTATGCCAACTCATGATGAGTAAAATAAAAAAGACATTTAGGATTGCGTAAGTACTCTTTGTGAAGAAAATGCCGTAGGTATTACATCTTCCTATCTTTCATTATTGACAGGTCATTACAATTTCTTGAAACAAGTTCAAAACTATCAATGTTACCCCTCCCACCTAAGTAAACAAATAGCTCCGTCACCCACCTTCCACCCCTCGCCCCCCCCCCCCCCCCCCTTCCCATACACAGAGAACGTGACGTAAACCGAGACATCTTGAACACTCACCACCCGCCTACAAACTTATCGGTTTTCCTTGGTATTTAGACGAACCACGCCAGCCCGCCTGAATGTTAACCACGACAATTACGAATGAGCTAATCAAACTAATACGTCCCCGGGAATAACTGTCTTTCGTTTACAGCGACGATTAAGATGTGATTGTTATTTCAATGTTTTTTGTTTAACCACTTCCAGTTAGTTGACAGATGTAGGATATTGACAAGCATTGCAGTCGTCTGCGCCCTTACCCCCCCCCCCCCCCCCCCCATACCCCCCAGCCCTAATATAGATTCTAATTGGCGTTAAGATTGATTGAGGGAAAGAAAGGGACGGGGGAGGAAGATATTATGGAGATTTTGTTGAACAGAGAAGAGATGGCACAATTGTGCATTGTGATTTTTGAGAGCTAAATAAAATATTGGGCACAAATTGATTAAGGAAACAAAATAACAGACATGATCGTATATATATATATATATATATATATATATATATATATATATATATATATATATATATATATATATATATATATATATATATATATATATATATATATATATATATATATATATATATATATATATATATATACATATATATATATATATATATATATATATATATACATATACATATACATATACATATATGAGTGTGTGTTTTATTTAATTGTTCGCACTTCGTGTGTTTTTGTCTCAGTCTGACCATTATTAAGCATGCGATATAGTTATGAAGTGGAATGTTTTGGTCTGTAATGTAAGCTTATAGATGACGCTGAAGGTTGTTTGTGGGATTGTTCTCTTTTAACGTTTATTTTTAACGAGCCGACCCGCGGCGTATCATATGCCGCTGTTTAATTGTTTTATTTTCTACTTTTCAGTAATTCATAATTTGAGAATTCGACTGTACCAGTGCTGCCACTGAAAATATTTGCTTTAAAACACTATCAGTAGGTCTTTAAGGACGATAACCCCCCCCCCCCCCCACCCTCCATTCCCCCACCCCCCTCCCCCGTGAAAACACTACCCCACCCTCCTTTCCCCCAACCCCTACCCTACCCCCTCCCCTATACCGTGAAAGCAGCCTCCTCTTAGTTACCTCCCTTAAGTTTAAAATCTTTTCAAACTATATTATCTGCCCCTAATAGCCGTCACTAAACCCGGTTCTACGATTGTAAACATTTAGCGTGAACCACAGCTCACCAGACCATGTGGGGGTGGGGGGGCTGGGGGGGGGGGGGGGGTTAGGGATATGCCTAGAGAGGAAGAGAGGGGGCTGCTAGGCGAGCTTACACCTTGGAGTTTTCACGGGTATCCAAGAAGAGAATTATATATATAGATTTTTACTCTACTGGTTCGAATGACGCTGTAAAAAAAAACTATAAATGTAGACTAACAAGAGTTATTGCCGGTGTAAACGATGAGTTAACATTATTGTTATGAACATGTCTTAATGGCATGTTGATTAACCCGAGATTGGTGTGGTTAGATTTGGCATTTGGCGCTGTTGATGTTAGTTGATACAAAACAGTGCAAAAACTGAAATCTTTCCATGGAGTTAGGTATGACTTTCGTTGGAATTTTAGTAACCGCACAACTGGCCATTATTTCGTCTCGTTTTTTTTTTCAGTTCGTGCCCAAGACATATGGGGCAGATAAAATAGAGTTCACGAGCCGACCCGCGGCATATCATACGCCGCTATTTAGTTGTTTTATTTTCTACTTTTCAGTAATTCATAATTTGTGGATTCGACAGTACCAATGCTGCCTCTGAAAATATTTGCTTTAAAACACTATCAGTAGATCGTTTAGAACGATACTACCCCCACCCTCCATTCCCCCAACCCCTACCCTACACCCCCCCCCCCACCCCGTGAAAGCAGCCTCCTCTTAGTTACCTCCCCTAAGTTTAAAATAGTTTCAAACTAAATTATCTGCCCCTAATAGCCGTCACTAAACCCGCTCTATCATTGTAAACATTTAACGAGAACCACAGCTCACCAGACCATGTAGGGGTGGGGTGGTAGGGAGCGCGCTTACAGCTTGTTTTCTGGCGTCTCCCAGAAGAGAACTATATTTATAGAAGATATGAAGGGATAGTGTGGTCAGCACAACGCCCAGCCGACTTTGCTTTCCCAGACGTGAGCTGAGACGTTTTACTGGCTTGAACCCGGATTCGAACTCGACACTTCAAGCTGGTATTCTAGCTCTCTACCGCTAGGCCATGCGGAGACATGTATATACATAAAGCAATTGTTTCAGTTGCACCATTGAGGTGTAATCATGATGCAAGTGCTTCTTATATTAAAAATTAAATTTGGTTTGTAGTTTTTTAAAAGGAACTATTCAGCAT